CATTTATGACACCATAACAATCATGCCACCATTAAATAAATTATAAAGTGGTGTCATTATGTCATTTTAAAACCATATCTAACTATACAAACCAAAAATTTCCATATGTCATGGTTATATTCACCATGAAAGCCACCCCCCCTGCTCAAAGGGATAATATCCTCTCTCTTTCCTATTCTGGCCTCTCTGCTTGTCAAATTTCCTCTAGAACTGGAGTATCCAAGTCCACTGTGGCCAAGTTCATCAAAGAAAGTCACACAGACAAGGAAAACTTCTGTGAAGGGCATCCATCCAAGCTCACCTCTACTGATAGAAGGGCTATTATTCAACATATCACTACAGGAAAGGCTGATAATGCTGTCCAGGTCACCTATTACATCAATTTCACCATCACATTCCCTGTCTCTTCACACACTGTGAGAAACATTCTCAAGACAGCTCATCTCAGGTCAGTAACAAGGAAGAAAAGGCTCTCCTCTCTATCATACATAAACAGAGATGACTAACCTTTGCCTTAGCCCATCAGAATTGGATTACATGGACTGGAAGCTCAGAATTGGATTACATGGACTGGAAGCATGTTATATGATCATATAAGACCACAATAAATAGGATTGGGTCAGATGGCAAGGTATATATGTGAAAAAAGAAGGGTGCTAGTCCTCTCTGCATATGTGTGATAGAGAGGAGAGCCTTTTCTTCCTTGTTACTGACCTGAGATGAGCTGTCTTGAGAATGTTTCTCACAGTGTGTGAAGAGACAGGGAATGTGATGGTGAAATTGATGTAATAGGTGACCTGGACAGCATTATCAGCCTTTCCTGTAGTGATATGTTGAATAATAGCCCTTCTATCAGTAGAGGTGAGCTTGGATGGATGCCCTTCACAGAAGTTTTCCTTGTCTGTGTGACTTTCTTTGATGAACTTGGCCACAGTGGACTTGGATACTCCAGTTCTAGAGGAAATTTGACAAGCAGAGAGGCCAGAATAGGAAAGAGAGAGGATATTATCCCTTTGAGCAGGGGGGGTGGCTTTCATGGTGAATATAACCATGACATATGGAAATTTTTGGTTTGTATAGTTAGATATGGTTTTAAAATGACATAATGACACCACTTTATAATTTATTTAATGGTGGCATGATTGTTATGGTGTCATAAATGATGATTTATATAGTTTTAATATGTGTTCAAAAAACTGTCCACATGAGTCATGATTTTGTAAGCCTTGTATCTCCACCATATCTCCTCTGATTCTCATGATGTGGTGCTCAATCCAAAGCCCTGAAGCAGCACTACAATATGGTATCAGCATGTCACTGAGGTCTTTATGTATTCTCACACAATATTGTAAATAGTAAAAAATGCAAAAACATGTGGACAGTTTTTTGAGCCACTGTACCAGCACCTAGCAAAGGATAATTGGATTCTAAGGCTTTGTTCATGTGGTGCTGAAGCTTATCAAGGCCAGCTTGCAAAGCCTGTGTCAGTCCATACACTCACCACTTCTTTGGAACTTGCTTCAGGTGCATCTCAAGATATTTCTCTGTTTGTATGTAGAGTGGGAGTGTTTGGCAGATTGTAGGAATGCCTTTCTTCTGCAAAAATAGTGTTGAAGTATGAAATACCTTTGAGATCATGAGCACATGGAGTACACAGTCAAAAAAAAATACCTCAAGGATATCAGATTACTGGCCCCAAAACTCCCAGTCAAGCAAGCTGAGACACTATTTCTTTTTCTTTTGTGCTGCCATGTCCTTTTTCTTTCCAGTGAGACCATCATCAAGACATTCAACCCAAAGGTTAATTGCCTGCACAACACATGAAAACCACAAGTAAACAAATACAAGCCAATGTGCACACCAGTTTGAGTTTGATAGACTGCTCAATCTCTGCATGAGTTGTGTTCCAACATATGAGCATGCTACAAATAGGAATGAGATAACATATCTGTTTATGATGGACTTCAGATGCAAGGAAATCAACAACAATGGCATGAAGCTGTGCATGCCCACATTATGAGTCAATAGCCAATGGACAAGGTATGACATACCTTGTCAATAGCACTGAATTTCTTTGTCTTCTTGCAAGCAATATTTGACATCTTCTTGCTTTAGAGCCTGGCCCTGTGTGAAATCCAGTCTCAGGAACATTAACCTCTGCTTGATCTAAATCTGTGTCATCTCTATCCTGTCCATCATCAGTCTCAGATTCTGTGTCACTTGCACCAGAGACAGCATCAACATTAGTATCTGATCCCTCTGCCTGAACTCCCTTTGCTCATTCCTCTTTCATCTTTGCTGTTTCTTCCTGGACTTTGGGGTCATTGTCAGGGTCATAGGTGAGTGAGAACTGATGGGCAACCAAGTAGAGATCATCTTCATCAGGGTCTGGTGTGCAGCTGAGCTTATGGTGCATAGCTCTAATGAATAGCATATTTGGTGAGCTACATTCCAGAGTATTTTTTGCCACTCACTGCATGTCAAGGTTGATGACATGGGCAGCACACCCAATTTGCACATTAATTTGATTCAAGAACACATTTTCATTTCCCAGCTGCTTGACAAGATTCTCATTCAAGACTGTATTACTGGCTGTATTATTGGTAGCATGAGCAACTATGCAGATTGTGAGAGTAGAATGGTATGGCATGATTTTTGTATGTACTGAGTTTGTGTGTCACTTTACATGCCTGCAATGCCTTGAAAAGAGCACATTCTGTTGCCTTACCAGAGTAATTTCTGTCAAGTGGGAGTAGTTCAATTGGACAAGTATGTAGGTCCCAGTTGTCATCAATCCAGAATGCGACAGATCCAACAAAGGCATACACAGAATTTTTGCTTGTCCAGACATCACTTGAAAAGCCAATCTAAGATGAGTTTTCCTGAAAGTGAATCAATGAGACTTGACACAGACAAACATAAGGCTTGGAAGGCACAACCTGGAGTATCTTGTTAATCTTCTCATTCATCTTGAGTTCTAGCCAGTCAAGATCACACCAAATGGTCTGATGAGATGGAATTTTGTACCTGCAAGGTAAAATATATGTCAAGGTTTTCATCATACCCACTTGTTCACCTAATGAAAAAGGCAGATCATCTTCTAAGATGCCCTTGATGAAGTGTTCTCTCCAACCCCTCTGTGTCACTTGCTGGGCTGGGTTCTCGAAACCTCACTTTGTGTATGCCTGGATGAAATCTTGCTGGGCAGTGGACCCCAATGTGGTGGTGGTGCAGGAACTATTATTACCATTCTGCCATTCTACCCATGCTTCATAGGAGTGGTCAGCAGAGATGTTTTTACAGCCATGAGAAGGATGGGAAATGAAGTTACTTGTCATCAGCAGCTTGATGGTCTCATTGGCATAAGATTTGCATTTTAATGTTTGAGGGGATGTTCAGATTGTGCTGCAACACTTTAGTTGCAATATTAATATATTATTTAGCAAGGATAGCCCTCACCTGCACCAGCAACAGTGCCATTTCCAGATCGGCCTCCCATCATGTATGGCAAGCTTTGGTTTATCATGTTGCTCTAAGGCCCACTTTAATTTTGTTGGGGCTCAACCAGATTTGACCTTCACATCCTCCATCTCTTCATCTACAGATGTATCACCATCTTTCATTGTAGTACACTATGAACATGTTAGCAAACCATGATCCAATATTGTCACACTCACATTATCTTCTTTTTTGCCACTTGTTCTTTTCCAGGCTGCAGATTTCATCACTATTAGTACTAAATATAAGCATGATTTTATAAATAACTTACTACTACATCTTCATCAATTGAAATATCAATGTCTGAGGTCAGATGTGTTAAGGTTGCATGCTCAAGGGGGGTCAGATCACAAGGGCTTGGCCTCAGCTCATACACTGTGCCCCTTTCCTGAGTATGTGCCCTCAATTTCTGGGGGCTGAACAGTCTTCTGGAGTTTCCAGGTTTTGACTAGGGTGGATAATGGACATCTAGGTATGAAATGTGAGATAAATCTGGTGGACATTCCAGATATTGATTGGGCAAGGAGATAAGGCTAATCCGGACAAAATCCAGACTAGAAACTGACAGAGGATAGACTACCCTAAGGTAGAGCTGGAGATATAGTCTAGGATACAATCCTAAGACTCAGATGATGACAAGAGACTTAAATCAAGTCCAGAGCGTTACAGTGCCCCACTCTTTTTCTCATCATCACTGCGGACTCCTATATGGCTGTACTTCTAACACTTCCTTTTCACTGTGCTGTTCCCTCATGGTCTTCCTTATCTTTGACTCATACCTTGTTTTCCCATGAACCTTCTTTTCTCAGTAGTCATTACCCTTTGACCAGCCTGGTCTGTGCACGATTCCCTTATGTATATAAACCCTAGTTACCACTTGTATTCTCTCTAACTTGAATCTACTCAGTTCTCTTTGATACTCAAACTCTAGCTCCTTGGGAAGGAGGCTAGCCATTGTCCCATTGAACTCTAGATCCTGCAGGAGTCTAGACAATTGCTCCTGAGGGAGGCACTTGACTCAATAAGGCTTAGTCCTTGATCGACCCTGATCCTTGATTCCTTTATTGGAATGACACTCTATCCGAGTTTGTAACACAGAGGACACAGGAATGAGCAGGAACTAAGATGATATTTGAACTGAAGTATTTCTGAGAGTTACAGGAGGTTTATATACTGTAGGTATCATATAGGAATCAGTCAGCAAACACAAAGGCTATGTATGAAGCATGTGCAAAGTCTATTAGTAAGTAGGACAGATCACCAATAATGAATACTGGAAATGAAATGTATGTAACAGATCAGTAATCAGAAGGGAAACATAGTTAACCAGAGTCCAGAGACAGGGGAAGTCTAAATGGGGTTGGGTGCTGATATAAGGTTTTGGATTCCAGAAGGAAGATAAAGATAGAACAGATCATTGGAGATCCAGATTTAGAGTTGAGAGTCTGGAATGGCATATGACAGGATGATTCTTTGGAGGGTGATAGTCATGGTCATCCTTGTCAGTGTCTAGAAAACAATTGAATAAACTGACACTAGACAAACAATACTAATGGACATACCTTCTTGTCAAGGTCTCATAATCTGGAGTACAAGTTTCTCAGCAGTCACAGTACCTTTGTTTTGGACTGGGCCTTTTGCTAATTGGGTTTGCACACTGCTGGCAGCTATAATAGCAGTCTTCTGAAGTGTTGAAACCCTGATAGGACAACTATAAGTGATCCAGTCAAAGTGAATAATGGTAGTAAACATACACTTTATAGATTAGACTTGACAATGCTTCCACCCAAGCTTGTATGAGAGTCAGGCCATTGTTTGCTTCAATCCCAGGAACTCAAGTAAAATGTGATGTAAAGCTGTGGGCAAGTTGTAGACCATACTTGCCATGTACAATGAGTTTCTTTTTCTTATCATTATTACATTGTTCCCATGAGCGATTGAAAGAGTAAAATGGCCCCTCTTCCTCATCAACTTTAAAATCACAAAGATGCATAGCGAGAGGGCCATCTTCTGTTCCTTCTGGCATAGTCATTGGTAGGTTTGTGATCACATTTTGAAGGTCAATAAATAACCATGAAAGCTGATCCATGCTGCCAGATATGGCCATGTTTGTGATTTGAAGCACTTAACTGATTCTACTTGCAGATTTTGGTGGGTGGGAAATTTAGAGATAAACTGTACAGTTTATAATATATATTCTATGCATCATTTCATTCATGTTCCTGGTCAGGCCAACCTGGGTCCTAAATGTTGGTACCATATTCAGAATATGGATAAATACAGCGACCATAATGTATTGTAACCTATCTGCTCGTATTCCTCAAGACTGAGAATATGGGGCCAAGGTATTATATTCAGGGTATTCAAATATATTCACAATAATATTCAATCACATCCTACATATGCTTTCTTTGACCCAAAACTGTGCTGAAGGAATCAACTACTAAGCTATGGCACTATAAGGAATACCAAGTCAGAGTATATGTGTGGTCGTCTCTGCTCTGCCTAGACTGCTATACTTTGCAAAGGCAAGTGCATTCAACCCAAGGGGAAGCAAGTGCAACACATCCACAGGTCGTGTGAAGCATGGGAAAGTCACACACGCGGAGGCAAAGGCATGCACAGAGAGTGGTAGGGTGCACAAAGCACAGGAAAGTTGCACACTAATAGGCAAAAGTGTGCAGAGGGCTAGGAATGTGATGGGGACTAAGGGAAGATGATGACTGATACTGATGGGCATGAGAATGACAAATGTGATGATGATAGAGTGTGATTGCCAAAATGCTACTGACTATGGCTCAAAAAAGTGTGCACTATGCTGAGGGATGCTAAGGGATACTAACTGCCCACTAAGTGATAGCTAACTAACTGATAAAAATGCAAATGCTAATGTGCAAAAGCCAACTAAGCACATTCCCACAATATGGAGCCAACATGAGTAAGGTGTGGGAACAAAGAAGGTATATGTAAGTAAGGGTCCATGATGGAATATGGTGTCATGATAAGAATAAATGCAAAAAACATACCAGTAGGACTTGCTGGACAATGGATGGATGCTCCTGGATGATGGGTGATGAAGCGTGGGAAAGCGCGTGGGACGTGCGTGGGAATGTGTCACAAGTTGCACAATGCACTATAGGCTGAGTGAAGGAATGATATAGGGAATGATGCCACAAGTTCATGCTGTGAACTGTATGCAGATACATTGCAATATAGGGCTCTACAGGCATACAGAGGCACAAGTCTCTACAGCGCATCATTGAGAATGATGATCAGTGGGCACATGAGTTCAAGTGTAGTGTGCAAGGATGCAAGACCACCATCTGACAGTATTTGGACAAAAAAGATGCCCAGTCCACTGGAAACATGCAGAAGCATGTCAAATTGTGTTGGTGTGGTGCAGTACTGCAAGCTGCTGATGACACAAAGGATGCCAGCAAGGTCTGCACCAAAATCATTCCAGGAATCCTGTGAGACAGATCAATAACAGCATCTGTTACGAACTAGGATGGTTGTAATAACAGCAGCTCAATAAGAGTGATGGCTGAAGTTATAGTCAAGACCTTTGCAAATGCAAAGGTTGTAAGACAAGACAAAGAGAGTGTCTTCGGCTTGAATATCAGTTCAGATGACTTAGGATTGGAGGTCCTAAGCAAGAGAAGTTTCTGGGTGAAAACCTAGTAAGATTAAAGTGAAGTTCTACTAGGTACATGACCAGGTTTATATAGGACATAAGTACTTTAGGGCAAGTACTATGAGTCAGAGATAAGGGATGCATCATTGATAAGCGATGAGTCAGAGATAAGAGATGCATCATAGATAAGAGACAAGTCACAGATAAGCGATGAGTCATCTAACGATGGCGATGGCGATTGCAATGTAATACAAGTATAGAAACAGATGAGTCAATGATGGCGTGGCATGGCGTGGTCATGATGTAATACAACTGTAAGTGAGGGAAAATAAGTAGGGGCAGGCGTAACTGTAATAGCATCCTTTGAATGCAAGGGGAAGGGGAAGGTGACATACTCCTACTGTTAACACACCTGTGCTGAGACCAAGTAAGTCTTTGATACTATGCAGCCAGACAAATTTGACATGACACAGAGCTGAGCTTGTGTGTTAGGTCTCCAAAAGCCTGCAACTATTCAAGACAGTCAAAGACCGAGGATTTCAATCATTAATGAAAACAGGCTGACCAGAATACTTCTTACCTTCCCCAATCACTATCTCATGTGACGTACAGCTTGTTTTTGCATGCACTCAATGTCACATTGCTAAAATGTTGAGAGTTAGTGACTTCATGCTCAATATGAATGAAACTGACTTGACTTACCAGGAATATGATGGCAAGATAAATTTTACTATGGACACTTGGACATCCACCAACCATAGAGCCTTTGTGGCAGTATTGGTCCATCTCAAACACAATGGAATCCCACTGAGTCTGCCATTAGACATTGTTGAGGTGGCGAAGGTATGTGAAAGACTTATGACTTGGAGGTGCCCACACACAATGACATGACAACTTGACCAGTCCCATACCAGTGTGGAACTTGCTGCAGTATTTGCAAAGATGCTACAAGAATTTGGAATATCAGACAAGGTACAAGGTGTTTAGGAGAAAAAGGAGAAAAAACTTACTTGCTAACTTGTCCCACAGATACTGAGTGTAACATATGATAACACCTCGAACAACATTGTCATGGTTGATGGGCTCAAGGACTTGCTTCCTGACTTTGGGGGGGCAGCAAGTCACACACAGTGCTTCTTCCACACTGTAAATCTGATTGCCAAGTCCCTGCTTGGTGAGTTCGACATAACAAAGAAGGCCAAGGCTGGAAGAGAAACAGACAATGATGTTGCAAGTGATACAAGTGATATGGAGCTTGCTGATCTGAGCAATGAAGTTCAGAGTGAAGATGCCAGTGCCAATGTTGGAGATGAGGAGTTGCCAGATAATGAGGATGGTTGGGTGGATGAGGTAGCACTGTTGGACCAGGATGAACAAATTGAGCTGCAAAGAAATATCCAACCAGTAAAGTTAGTGCTTTTGAAGGTAAGACAAAAAAAATGCAAGCACACCTTGATATTGACTGCTCCCTCTAGTTGCACAAGCTTTCTTACAAACTGATCAATTCCATGACCATCTTGCTTCCTGCCTGGCACAAAATCCTCCTCAACTTGCAAATGACTCCAATGAATATGCCATGGGACATTTGCACCCACTGGAACTCAACCTTCAATATGCTGGATTATGCTGTCATCCATCAGGAAGCAATTGACACAGTCACTCAGTGGCATGACCTAGGATTGCGCAAGTTTGAGCTTGTCAACAGTGATTGGGAGATAGTCAGCCAGTTGCAGGATGTATTGAAGGTAGGTGTGGGTCACTTACTGGAAATTGCTTACTAAACATGTCTTTCAAGATTCTCAAGGACACCACATTGTTTTTCTCACAGGGGACACCTAACCTTGCAAGGGTTATTCCCACAATGGATTTGATTGACAAGCAACTCACCACCTGCTCACACAACAAAAAATATTCTGCTTCTATTTGTGTGGTTGTTTGCCTTGCAAAACAAACACTCAACCAGTACTACCAGTTGATGGACAAGTCTGAGGTATACTGGATTGCTATGGGTGAGTCTTTTTTTGATTTAAATAATAATATGATACTGACCTTTGTTTATTTATTACTACAGTACTGCATCCACACCATAAATTGGCCTATTTCAAGAACACACAGTGGGAGGATGCCTGGATTGGGACTGCAGCCACACTTGTCCATGATGAGTTTGAATGGTCATACCTTGAGGTGGGGATTCAAGAGAACAGTGATGATATTGAGATGTTGAATACTATGGCTCATGAGGTATGTGTTTTTCTTTATGTTTGCATAGCTCAATATCATTAACTGCAACTTGACCTTTGAGAATTTTTTTGACAATATGCCAGCACTGGTGCCACCCAAGTTGAGTGACCTGGGGGATGAACTGGAGCACTACCTCAACACCAATATCAAGGATGTCCCTGATCCTATTGCCTGGTGACACAAGCACTGTGCAGTATATCCCCACCTTTCTCATATGGCCTTAGACTACTTAACAATACCTGGTGAGTCCATGCCCACCCTCCTTTATGGGTTCATTCTGACATATTTTTGTCACACATTTTTCATAGCTACATCTGTTGACGTTGAATGTCTGTTCAGCCAGGGATGCCTCACGTGCATTCATGTCTGATGGCTCAGTCTACTCAAGCGCTCCTATGCCTCAGTTATTGGAGCTGCCTCAACCTCATCAAGATGGAAGACATTGTCAAGATTAGTTCCCTACCTGATGTTGAAGATACTAATGAGAAAGAGCTCAAGGATGGCTGGGACTGCATTGAGTAGCTACATAGTACATTTTTTGTATCATTTCATTATAGTATTCTATACCCACAGGGTATACCCACCATGGGTGGTACCCTGGGGTGTTATATCCTCCTACCTGTCACTACACCCATACCCTCAGTGCAGGTATGGGTACATCTCAGGGTAAGGGTACAGGTGGCACCTGTGATACCCTGGGGTTTACCCATGCACATTCCTAGACATGACAGATGCATTGTTTGCCAGACCACCAAATGCAGTAATTCTCCCCCTAGATCTTTGGTGTAAAAATTATATCACCTCCTTCAACCACTTCTTCATGAACAAGTATTCCTCATGCTTGTCAAAATATGTTCATTTATACTATAGAAAGATATCCTCTTACAGCTGATTCCAAAACTATGCGGAATCGCAAAATCAAAACTTGAGTGTCGGAAACAGCCGAACAAGGACCCCGTAAGCATACTGTGAGATTTGCGCTGCACAGCATCTGTGTCATTCATTAATGCCGCCATGCACTGTTTCGAACAATCTAAAGGCTCAAATCCCTGTTCTCCGTCAATGTGGGCACTTCATTAAACATATCTGCCATCTACTTGGAGTAAAAAAGACTCTTGTGTACAAGGTTTTACAGCTCTGTCCCTTGACTTGGAGTTTACAGCACTCTCATATCCACAGCAAGCATACAGGCCAGCATTGCACCCTCACCATTGATGACATTGCCTTCATCACTGCCATTCTTCATCACCACCCTACTATTTATCTCAATGAGCTACAGCATGAATTGCACTCTCACTGTGGTGTGCTTGTGTCTCTGCAAACACTTCTTCGCACATTTTCGTGGTTGCATTTCAAGCACAAATGCATTTCCACTTATGCTCTTGAATGGAATGAAGAAAAATGTGCTATTTTTATGAATAGTATTGCTAGCATTGCACCTGACCCTGAAATGTTGATGTTTGGTGACAAGGCTGCGAAAGATGAGAGAACCCTCATTCGATGCTATGGCAGATCAAGGATTGGAATGAGGTATGTCAAATTTTACTGTGATTGACATGCAATGACCAGTCTAAATCAGATGCATCCAGATAAGTTTAATTTCTATGAATAATACAAAGATCACTTGCCCATGAGAGTTGCCAAGGAGGTACTTGAAAGTGTATTTTTTCCTCTCAGTGATCCTATAGTGTGATTTGTCATGCTTCATGAGAATTGTTGTCAGAAATTTGATGTAGTTGGACTCAGAGACTTGAAAGACCAGTTCCTTGACTTTTGTAGATTTCACTTCCTTGGTTTTTGCTTTGCCATTATTTTCAGTAGTAGTCTTGGTGTATGTATCAAGGTAAATAATGAATGTTGCCGTGAATCCAGGTGTCTCTGGGGAGGAATCTGATGGTGATGACATCGTCTTTCAGTGAACTGCATATACTACACTAGCGCTACTACAAATCTCGCAGTCATGTGCTTACAGGGTCCTTGTTCGGCCATTTCTGATGCTCAAGTTTTGATTTTGCAATTCCGCATAGTTTTGGAATCAGCTGTAATACATCATGTTCAAACATACGAAGAACAAAAAGATAGACAAAAAGTCAAATCTGAGACCCTGAAAGCAAACAAACAAGTGCAACTAGGTAGGTTGGTGTTCAAATTCATTAGAGTCTGTTCAGGAGGTCAGATTTAGGCCAACTTAGCTAACTTTTTCGAACTTCAAATCACATCAAGTAAGCCAGAGCTTGAATTCGAGTCACGCTGTTATCTCTGATACATACTACCATGTTGCTTCACCTGTTGCGCCATAGCAGTGACCCTGACTCAGATCCACCATCCCGTGATACTAGAAGTGACGAAGTCTTGGAAGATTACTCGAACTCTTGGGATGATGATGAGGCAGATGAAGGGGATGAGGTGAATGAAGGGGATGAGGTGAATGAAGGGGATGAGGAGGACAATGAAGATGATGCAGAGTGGGCACATAAGAAGACTCTTCAAGTGGTCATAGGCCTATTCCACCAAATAGTCACATCAGGTTCTGAAACTCTCACCATTGCGACGGACACCTTCAACTCCTACACAAATACCCACTACAACAAGACACCCTACCATACCTCAGCACTATGAGGGATTGGCTGGGTTACTGAACTTATCAATGGTCACGCTGAACGTATCCAATGCAAGCTGGGCATTCACTGCCATGTATTTATTGTATTACTCAATGTACTTCAGGAAGGTGGGATCAATGATTCGAAGCATGTAAAGCTGGAGGAGCAATTGGCGATTTTTCTGTATGCTTGTGTCACCAGTCTTTCTGTATGCCACATTGGCAAGTGTTTCCAACACTCTAACAACACTATATCAAGGTATGTTTTCACTGACTCTCACATCCTAACGAAGCTGATTTCTTTCCAGATATTTCAAGCGAATCCTTATCGCATTCTCCTCCCATCCTATCTACCCTGCCTATGTTCGGCTTCCTGAGGCAGATGCTCCAACCCCCCCTAAAATCCTCAACAGTCCTAAATTTTACCCTTACTTTGCAAATGTCATTGGTGCCATTGATGGCACACACATCACTTGCCACCCATCAGCCGCTGATTGCCAATCTTCCCATGACTGCAAGGGAAACTTATCGCAAAACTGTCTTGCTGCCTGTGACTTCAACATGCAATTCACCTACATGTTGAGCGGGTTCCAAGGGTCTGCAGCAGATGCTCATGTCTACCACATGGCTCGTTTGTCAGACTTCACAATCCCTCTGGGAAAATTGTATCTCACTGACACTGGATTCGCGGCATGCGATGAGTTACTTGTACCGTATTGTGGTGTTCGCTACCACCTTGCTGAATGGGACCATGTGGGCCTCTTGTATGTTGGCTCCCAACTTACCACACTCTAGTACTTACATACATGGCTTGTAGACCCTGCAACTGCCAAGAACTCTTTAATCTATGTCACGCAACACTCTGCAATGTTGTTGAGCAGATTTTCAGTGTCATCAAGAAGTGCTTCCGCATCATTCAGCTCCCTCCTGAGTACAGCTCAGATATTCAATCCCACATCCCTCCAGTGCTATGTCTAGTTCACAACATCATATGTATTCACGACCCAGATGATTTATTAGACTACTGCCATGTGGAATCAGACAAGTGGAGCACTCCTTACTATAGCAGTACACTTTCTGATGGGCCTCCAACTGAAGCAGCACACACTCGTGCACATCCACTATGTGATCAAATTGCACAGGACATGTGGGAGGATTATTTGGCAGAAAGAGTTCATCGAGGGCTGCCAATGCCGCCTGGTGTAGAAGAATAGTCAATCTCACATTATCACTCTCAAATGTAGCACAGCTGGTTGAATTGATGAACTTTGGATATGCTAATACATCGAAAACCTAGTTACTGCCACTCGCATGAGCCTGTAGGTAGTCTGCTAAGAATAATTTGCGGACACCAACTCATGTGATGTTAAGGTAAGAATCAGCAACTATAATGTCAGATTGAAACACTTTGATCATCTTGAGAACCTCATGATCATCAAGATCAGGCTCCTCTTGTACCAGGCAGACAGCCCTTTGCTTGCAGACTGGGGGCGGCTCATGACCCGCAGCAACTTCCTTAAGCACAACAGTTGTGGTGTCAATGCTGCTCTTCACCTGTCCACCCAACTCCTCCAATGCATTTAGCAAAGTGCACTGGGATTTTGATGACCCTCCTGCACTCTTGCCAGACTTCGAAGAGTGAGGAGGGTGAGATTCCTGGCATGAGGTATCATCATCCATAGTCTTGTGTTTGATGGCCATTGAAGAAGCTGGTGTGGAATTGGACACCAATGAGGGTGCGGAGGGTATGAGGAAGCGTGGCAAGCATGGTGCTGTATTGGAGGATTGGGCCACTGAGATGAGCTGAGGTTGGACAGTGGAAGATGGGGTGGGGGGTCTTTGGGGACAGGCATCATCTCAGTGTTGGTGTTCTTGTGGAACTCGATGTTTTCGAGCAAGTTCTCTAGTGACTTCATTATGATGTCACTAGCGCTTGTGCTGTTGGTGGGCATTGATGTGTTGGCATTGATGTCGAGGCTTGCATGGAAACCAGTCCAGGTACTGGTGTGAGATGGGAGGATTTCGGTGAGGGCCTCATAGTGTTCCCAGCCCAAGGATTTGATGGACTTTACTTGAGGATCTGCCTATGAAAATTGTGAGTGCAGTGGTGAAGAGATGGCTGAAAAACACATACCTTGAGTAAATCCGCCCAAATTGTCTCAGATTCGGCAGTGATATTCACACCCTTCTCATGAGTGTAGGATATACTGGATGAGTTGGCTATCTTGTCAACAACTTTGAAGAACTTGCGCAGCTATAAGAGTAGTGGTATCAGTAATCATAGTGCCACTGGAGATGAATAGAATACTTACCCACCCCCACTTCTGATGGCATGCATCAGGGCTTTTAGGGGCACCCACCCCTGGAGTGCCCTTATTAGCCATCTCTGCAGCTGCAGCAACCCAGAACGATTTGTCGAAGTTCATCCCATCACCACCCTTGGCTTGATGGGTGGCGATGTATGTGATGAGGGCACTCTCATCCACCTGGGTCCAGATGCAATGGGATTCTTTTTCAACCATTTTGTTGGTTTGGGCAGATCTCCTCTTTGCCTTGACCATAGTGGTCCTAGTACGTACATGGAGGTGTTGGGATGAAGCTCGGGTTGCGGGCATGATTGATCATTGATAGGATAAGTAATTGTGTGACATGTGTTGGTCACATCAACCAGCAGTTCGGCAAGCTTACTTAATGTGGTTTGAAGTTCGAAAAAGTTAGCTAAGTTGGCCTAAATCTGACCCCCCGAACGGACTCTCAGTCTCGCAGCGCTGGTCGCATGCCCAAGAGAAAACGACCCTCCAAGTTTTCTCAAGAACTTGAAGATAAAATTCAACATGCCTGCTCTATTCTACATGCTTCTCCTTCTCCTAATATTCGTGCCATTGCAACAGAGCACAAAGTCCCATATGACACCCTTCGTCGC